CGGGGCCCTCCCCGGCCGGGCCCAGCCCACCCCGGGCGGCACGCCGGTGGCGGTAGCCAGGCTGGGCACGTGCGTCCTGCCGCCACCAGCTCCACTGGCGCGGCGCGGGACCGGGGCCATGCATGTGCCCTCCCCCGACCTGGGGCGCAATTAAACTGTGTGCCCGGGGTGCCGGAATGGCTCGGGCTGGCCCTGTGTGGGGGTGCTCCAGTGTTAGAGCTCTGTCGTCCCGTCACCCTGTCCCGGGCTCGCTGCAAGGTCTGGTCACCCAACACCGTGAGCAAGTACAGGAGCCGCTCCCATGGCATGGCCCCTGCATTCCCGCACGGGCACTGTGTGCTGGAGACACTGTTCTGAGTGGTGTGGTCCCCCCTCCCTATCCCGGCTCCAGACTTCCAGCTGCTGAGCAGCCTGCCCCACCAGAGGGCCGACGGCTGCGCCCCCCTAACTGCCCTTGCCTCCCCTCCGCAGTGCCCCACCTTCAAGCGGGAGGCAGATGGCACCGAGACCCCGGAGCCGTTTGCGGCAGAAGCCAAGTTCTTCACCGAGTCGCGCCTGCTGCAGAGAGACGTGCAGATCGTCCTGGAGAGCTGCCACAATCAGAACATCCTGGGCACCATCCTGCACCCGGCAAGTGGGGTGGGGCAGGGGTCAAGGGGCAGGGCAGCGCTCTGGGGGAGAGGACCTCCTCCTCTGTCCTGGCTGCAGGCCTGGCAGGCCCGGGCGGAGCATGAGGGGGTGTCCAGCTGTTTGGGCATCCAGGGTCAGAGGGGCCCAGGAGGGCTGTTGCCTGCCCAGCACCCCCCACAGGTTGTGTGTTTGGCGGGGTGGGGGGAGCCAGCCTGGCTCCTGCTGGCCTGGGGTGGCTGCAGCTGGCCAGCGAGCCTGGCATGTGACCCCTTCTCACCAAAGTGCTGCACCCCCCAGGAGGGGGACTGAAGCCAGAGCCCTGCTGCCATGGGGGGTGGAGGCAAAGCCAAGGGTCCCCCCAGGCCTAAGGCCTGTGACCTGAGTGCCGCTGTGGGGGGCTGAAGCCTTCAGGCTTCCACTTTGGTTGTGGGCAGTGGGGCTCGGGCTTCAGCACGCCTAAGCCAGCCTTGGCAACCCGCTTCGGGGCCCTGGCTGTCGGTGAGCTGCCGGCATGGAGCCAGGGCTGTGCCTGGCCCGCACCCTCCACGTACTGCTGGGCCTGCCAAGGGGGGTCTGTCCCGGCCCTGGCGCTGGGGTGGATACTGACCCTGTCACCCCCCTGCTGGTTCCAGAACGGCAACATCACGGAGCTGCTGCTGAAGGAAGGCTTTGCCCGCTGCGTGGACTGGTCCATCGCTGTGTACACCCGCGGGGCCGAGAAGCTGCGAGCAGCCGAAAGGTAACTGGCTCCCCTCCCCCCAACGGGGCCTTACCCAGCGGGCCCTTGCCTGGCTCACGAATCACATCCTTGCCCTCCCCTGGCCCAGAGCTACGGGGCGCCTGTGTTTCTGGCTGTCCAGAGCCACTCCCTGCTCTGTTTGGCTAGAGGCCCGTGGGGCTGGCTGGGAGGGGGTGCCAGGCATTGGGGCTGAATTTGGGGTAACTGGCTCCCCTCCCCCCAACGGGGCCTTACCCAGCGGGCCCTTGCCTGGCTCACGAATCACATCCTTGCCCTCCCCTGGCCCAGAGCTACGGGGCGCCTGTGTTTCTGGCTGTCCAGAGCCACTCCCTGCTCTGTTTGGCTAGAGGCCCGTGGGGCTGGCTGGGAGGGGGTGCCAGGCATTGGGGCTGAATTTGGCTCAGAAGTTGCCAGCTGGGCCTGCATGCTGGGCACCGCGGCCAGCTGGCCGTGGGCG